GGCACCATTTTAAGTGTGCTGTGCAGCTAGCGGGTCGGTATGGTTTTAAAGTAAGGGACAAGATGTAACAGCTGAATGAAGGACAATATGTTTAAAGCCAACCCTTAATACCTGCACTGACCAGTGATGTGATTTGTAAATGCTAGTGCTTTATGGTGCTTTATAAACTGATGCTGTCACTTCTCCTATCCTACTTAGATTTTTTTCATGCTTTATGTTAAAACAATACTACTTTATTTTCCCCATACTTGGAAAGTTCCCTTTAAATCAATTCCTCTAAGTTTTTGCCTTTCCCTTTCATTTAACACTGAGTGCCGGGTGCACTGGTAGTTGTTATCTCTCCCCCACAGCATTCAACCATTTCAGCTCATTGGATGCATAACACTTCAGTGTGGCTGGATGCCAGCTCCGGTATATTAAAGCCACACAGATAAGCTACAGTGGTTAGTGTTGTTGTCTCACTTCAGCTTATTGCCTTTAATCTTGAGCCGATTAATCTGTCCAAGGAGGAGCGAAGGATCATGAGCGAGACAGGCAGAAGAACAGCCGTGGATGATGGGTGGGTGGGAGCTGAAATACTTGGAAGCAAGAGCAGATGCACCTTGTAAGCAATGTGAAACTGTATGTAATGACGGGAGAGCAAAACCAGGCACATCGGAGAGGAAATTAAGACTCTTAGTGATTGTGGCTGGAACAATCATGGCATGTGGGTATGCAGGTGCTTAAATCCCACTGCCTTCCAAAGGGAATTGAACACTCAGTTTGTCTGGGAAAAAGATAAACAGACTATCCAGTAATTTTGGAATCTCGTCAGTGTTTTACCAAGGGGAAAATTAGATAATTTGTAAAATACAAAATCCTTTTTTCAATTTTTTTTTTTAAAAAAGCAGTTACTTTGCTGATGTGAACGGGCTTGCTTGCTTCTAAGCCATAGGCTGTTGCATTTTAGATTCTGTATCTCAGAAGGTTAAAAGATAAATCTACAGAATGTTTTCTGTTCATAGCTGAGAAATCACTGTAATCCTAACCTTGGCTTTGCCATGTAACTTGCTGAGAGTGTATGTTAAATAAAGAGAAACATTAGGATTAGGCCTGAAATTCACTCTGATTCAGGGAGCCACTACAAGGACCACAAGCTATTTAATTCCTCCTTTGAAGGTTTCGGTACTGATGAAGTGATACTTAAACGATCTTTTCCTTTTCTCTTTTTTTCTTCGTTTTGTTTCTGTTTTTGGAGCAAGCTTTGAGCTTAAATTGAGCTGGCAACTTCCTTTTCAGACCTCAGCAGCTGACATCATTTGTACAGCAATAATCAACAACAGGAAGAAAACATCTGGGCTTGGAAGCATGAAGAGATCAAGGCTGTAGTGGTCTAGAGAATAAAGGGGTGACAACAGTCTGTGTTGCAACAGTTTGTCTTGAGTGCGTCCTGCAGACGTGAGGCCACTCCAGTGGCTGCAGGAATTGAACATTCCTGGTTTCCGAGATGAAGGAACGAAAGATGGGGCAGTAAGCTGTCGGGTTCCCTAGAGAGAAGTGGTTCAGTGAGGTCAGGACAGCACACTGCTTTTCGCATGGGAAGCCTCCGCGGTAATCTTCACGGCTGGGTTTGCTGCATGCTCTGGTGGGTCAGAAGGCCTTGTGTCCGTGGTCCTGTGGCGGATCATACCCAAGGGTCATCTTGGGAACCTAGGGCTGTGGGAATGCAGAGGATGGAGCTTTCATCAGCTACTTTGTACTGCTCCGAAGCACAGGGACCTTAAAGAAAAAGGTTTTTGTTTTACTGTGAGCTTTTGAGCTGTGCCTGAGGACTGGGAGGAGAACTTCCTCTGAGCTGCATGTGGGCGATTCCTATCCATACCAATAAGCAGAAGTAGTTGCAATGCTCAGTTCTTTTAACAGCAGGCAAAGAATCAATGTTGACTTTTCTCCTTTAAAGGATTTAGGCTCATTCTTACTTATTTGGGCTCCCAAAAACCCCAACCCTAGCGTGTAGGGATGTAGGCCGTGATCTTGCAATGTAGTTGGCCCCTTCCATTGTAACAAGGGATGGTAAAATTGAGGAGACATTTTGCATTTGTGTCTGAATTACCTCTAGACTAGCACTTAGGGTTACATCCACCTTCCTCATGTCTTATGTGCAGCATCTACTGCTTCTGCTGCCTCAACAGCAGCAGCACAGCTTCCTTCCTGCTCCAGGATGCCGTGTGTCAGGCATCCCATAGCATGCTCTACCATGTTGCTCCTTCGCCGAGTCTCTTTGGACTAGTTAAATCACAGGCTTTTGAAGGCTGTTGGCTTACCCTGCACATTCAGGCTGCCTTCTTGCTGACTTCTTCCACGTGAATATAACGAAGTGGTTGATCAGTAATATTTGCCTGGCAGAGAGCTGCTATGGAAACAAACTGTGTTCTGTTTTGATGGGGATGATGGGTGATTTGGCTATCGGTGAGCTCAGGGGAGCTGCTATGAGATGTGTCAGCAGCACAGCTTCCATATGAGATATCCCTAATCCCCAGAGCTGACTTTCATGCATATATGCACCACTACCTCCATCCCTTATCCTTATTGCAACCAGCTGTGGTTTGACTTTGTCAAAGATCTGATAGAGCTCCCTTACCCCCTCTCCCACTCGCTCTACAAACTCCCATTAGTCATACTTGGGCAGCGCATGAAATAAGATGGTGATAAAGCTCTGATCCTAGACACCAGAGTCATTCCTAGGGGCTCCGTGCTGGGCTGTGAAGACTCCACTGTGTTAACCCCTTGGTGCCTCCAGGCAGAATTTCCTAATGCCCATAAGCTATGTATCGTCTCAGGGTTGATAGAGCTCTTAGGGCACCTTTCGTCTAAGTAGAGATGGATTTATTACTGTGGTGTGTTAGAGATTAAATGGGCTTTTTTGGCTTTTTAATTAGTCAGTGGGCTGAGGAAGACAGCTCTTGTGTTAAGGCATTGGCCATTTGTGAAAACTTGGGTTTTCTGTGTATCCCATTGGTAATGCAGAGAGAATGTTATTTTTCTCCTTGTTGTTCATACTACTTAAGCTAAAGATTAACTTTGGCAGAGTGACAAAGGGCTACGTACTGGCCAAGAAACAATTCAGTCTGGAAGTTAGTGGAAGGTTTCTGACCACTGGGGAGGAGGAGCTCGTGGAACAGAAATTGGATTATTTTTTTTAAAAACAGGACAGTTTATCGACTGGTTAAATTTGGGTTGCTTTTCCCGAGGGTGGTGAAAAGTACATCTTTGATCTGATGCCAGCCACCAGGCAAATTTCAGAGCTTTCACTCATAGCATAGGTTTCTGTAATGGGCAGGATACTGCTATCTGAGCAGATGAAGGCCACCAGCCACTCCTGGACCCCTAAAGCCACTGCTGGTCAAAGCTGCAGCTGTACTGCCGATGTATCAGCAAAGAACTGTACATCACCTCCTTCCCTTTGCAGGCTCGCGTGATACTTCGAGGGGCAAACACAAGCCTTTTGGAAAAGCACAAACATTTTTAACTGCCATTTTGCTATCTGTCACATAGCTACCTTTGCAAAAAGGAGAGAGGGTGGGCAGAGATTTGTGGGAAGGATGGTTGTTTTGGTTAATCCTCTCAGCTTTCTACAGGGTTTGCACATCTCAAACATTGGAGACACCATTACTGACTCGGGTGGCTGAAGCTCGTGGGTTGTTCAGGAGCGCAGTACTGCTTTTGCAGCGGGTTGAGAGCTCCCGGTGTAAATCCAGTTCTTAAGGCAGTGCAAAACAGTAAATCTAGGCTGACGTGTCTGCATGGGGGCGAAGCAAAGCTTTGTACTTCACTGGGAGCGAGTAGGGTCCAAGGACTTTGTCTCTTATCCCAGTTGTGATTTAGAGCTAACTGCTGAGCTGATGGCAGCCCAGATACTCACCAGTAAAGTTAAAAATAAACTGCTTGAATTTCTCTGCCGATAATTAAAGCAACTTTTTATTTTTTTGTGTGATTTGATGTAAAATCAAGCCAGGGCTCTCTCCTCCTCCTCAACAGTGCCTGCCCAGTTTGTGACCCATGAAGTCCTGCAGGCTTTTCGTACTCTCTCAGCAGCAGTTCAGTTTCTGAGATGCTGGCTTGCTTCTTTTATTTCACTGTGTCTAGTGAAGATCTTAGAGATCCCGTGCGATCAAATAAAAATTTGAATGCTATTCAAATTACTGGGAGGAACACTAAACCTTCAGATCCAAATCTCTTGTTACCCTTTGAAGGCTGTTCTGCATCTGTAGCACTGGTGGAGTATCCTGTAGCTGCCTATGAACCCAGTTGCTGCTGGACCTAATGTGTTAGGCTAGAACGAGGATTAGACTGAGCAGATGGTAGAGGCAAGCAGGACCATCTTGTTGTCAGGAGGTGTCTCTCCAGCCATGGCAGACTGTTGGTCCTGCTTCTTCCCGTCCTCAGTTGTACGCCGTCTCTGGAAGGTGCTCTAATTTGGGATGTGTAGCACAAAGCATCTCTGATCCATGCGTGGAGTCCTTGGTTGTCACTGTGTACGTGCCAGCAATAATACATCTTTGCACTCTTTGGACACCTTTTCTAGCATGTCCAGAGGCACAAAGTCACTGCTTGAACATGAGGTGCCGAGTACTGAAAGCTGCTGAGTGGTGCTCACAGGGGATCTTGCCTGTGTCATCGTTTATTTGTCACCAAACAGGGGAGCGGTGTTTACAGAGCTCTCTGCAGTGGTTTGTGTTTGCTGCCCTAAGAATTTCATTTGCTCTGTTCACAAACAATTGCAGTAAACAGGCTGTAGTAATTGAACTTTCAATTTCCTTCAGCTTTGGCTCCGTAATCACCTTCCCGGCTGCATTCTCAGGTGTGGGGCTTTAGAAACCACATCTTTCAAACTCAAATATTTTAAGGGGAAGGGGATGTCTTGTTTTTGCAGCAGCCTCTGCAAAGCATGCTTTCTATCCTGGACATCCAGGAAAGCTACTGCACCAGCCATTTACCAATGCTTTGGTTGTCTTTCCCAGTCGATCATGTGGTTCCTGAGCCAGGGACCAGTTTGCTGACTGCGTTCGACCAGTGGCGAGAATGGGCAGACAGCAAATCCTGCTGCGACTACTCTTTGCATGTGGATATCACCGAGTGGCATAAAGGTGTCCAGGAGGAGATGGAAGCTCTGGTTAAAGATCATGGTAAGTTCAGTTACTTGAAAGCTCAGAGAAGCCTTTCCCCTCTTTATTTTTTAGGACTGGCTCTTGTGAAATATTTTACTCTTACATCTTAATAAAGCTGTAAGCTTTATTATATATTTATTATAAAGCCCTGACATTAACTTGGGATATCACCGAGTGGCATAAAGGTGTCCAGGAGGAGATGGAAGCTTTGGTTAAAGATCATGGTAAGTTCAGTTACTTGAAAGCTCAGAGAAGCCTTCCCCTCTTTATTTTTTAGGACTGGCTCTTGTGAAATATTTTACTCTTACGTCTTAATAAAGCTGTAAGCTTTATTATATATTTATTATAAAGCCCTCATTAAAACTTGGGCCATTCCGGCTTCTTGTGGAGGTTTGGACAGTCGCTGTTGTAGAGGGCTGAGGGGGATGGTATGCACTGGTGTCGCTGCAATGTGTTAGGTGGGTGAGCATTGATTTTGAAGAGGTGAATCTCTTGCTGCTGCCGTGCAGAGGAGCACCTTTGTTCAGTGGAGGTCCTTTGATTTTCGTTAGAGCAGGTAGGTGATAGGTTTGGCCATTAAACTGTTGTAAACAAGGGAAGAATCAGGCCCAGAAGGAACAATCCAGCACTGCTTGCTAAAAGTGGAGAAGAGCTGAATAAAATGACCTCATAGGTTTTTCCCCTCTTTAATTTCCTTGACGTTTCATCCTTAGGCTAGAGTAATTTTCCATCCTGTTTGTAGTTTAAAAAAACAACCATTTACATCCTAATGAGTGCTTTCCCACACGTGCTGGAGAAGAGCTTTTACTGGTTCAGAAGGCAGGAGAGGGAAAGCTGACTTAGGAGCACTCCCTGTGTCTTGGTCAGTACATAGTGGAGGAGGAGGACATGCTTACAGACAGATTTCCCATCGCTCTCGCAGGAGGGAGTGGGGGATCAGGCAGCCAGGCCCAGTCTCTGCTTTTGTGTGTGATGCATTTTGCTTATTTTTTTACTCAGCCTCCTACAGTGCTGAATCCACAGAATTATTCTTATTTCAATGTTAAGTGGAAGCCTAGGGGTTTAGCTGTCCCCACGGCTGGAGTGCAGGCTCCTCTGTTCTCATCAGTTGTGTTAATAGATGCCACATGGCTGAGGAGATCCTGGCTTTACGCTGTGATCTGTTGAGAGTGTGTGTGCCTGTGTGCACGCACATGTGTGTACACATTTCACAGCAGATTAAAGTAATTTATTTGTCTACCCATTGTTACTGCTTGCAGGGGGGCTGATTGAGGGGGGCATCTCTCTATGAGGAACAGTGTGTTTTGTAGCTTTATCTGTGCCTGCAATTTGTACGTCAAAGATAATTCATTTGCTCTCTTTGCACCAGGTGTGAACTCCTTCTTGGTTTACATGGCTTTCAAAGATCGCTTTCAGCTAACTGATTCTCAGGTAGGAAAGCTTAATATTCACATGCTTCTGTCACTGCAAGCTATGCATTAGTCTCTTACAAGGGTTTAATTTCAATACACTTGGATCTGACATTCTCTTTTGGTTTTGGTCTTTGTACGTGTAACAGTACCTAAGATTTGCAACAGTACCCAGAGCTCTGGTTTGAAGATTTATTTTTTTTTTTTTTAATAAAAAACCCCAACCAACAACAAACCCTGAAAGACTTGGCTGGGGAAAGCAATGGCAAAACCCTCGTTTTGAGAGATCTAAGGTTTTGTTCCAGCTCCTTTGGTGTGGAAGCAGTGGCAGTTTTATAAATTGCTGCTTTATGCCTAGGCGCAGAGCAGGACAGTGAGATCTCTGGCATAACTATCCTACATGTTTATAAGCTGAAACTGATCCTGGTCCAGAAGTGGGTTTCTGGCTTTGGCATTAGAATCGCTGGGACCTTAAAAAAGGAATTGCCCTCCTGTTTGCTCTTCTAGTGGGTACGTTTGGGTACGTTTAATTCTTGAGATGGGCAGTTTATATTTCTAAATGTGGTGGGAGGAGAGGAATGCCTGGGAGTCATTTGGAACAGTGTAGGAGGCAGTGGTGTATGACAGTTATCTCTAATGACTCTGGTAAGCATTTTAATGAGTGACCACTGATGGAGCAGGCATCAGTTGTGGGTTACTCAACCTGAGCCCTCTCAAACTGGTTGCTGGAGTGGGAAATCACACTGCTCCCGTCCCAGGCAGCGAGAGGGGTGGGTGCAGGTTCTCCATGAAAAACAAATGTAAGGGTGTTTTTTTCATGCCAGGCACCAGTAAATGAAGGCATGAAAGAGGTACAACTCTGTGAGCTCCTTAAAATCACTCCAGATGTAGGCCTGTGCAGTTGCTGTTTCTTTCTCCAGCATAGTAAATATACCCAAACCTGGCTTTTGAGTAGTGCTGCTTTGCCATATCAGTAGCATCTGACTATACAGATTGGGAAATTTAGTTGTAGGCAGGAAAATGGATCATATCTATCCAGCAAACCACATCTTATATTTCTTAATGCTTCTCTTTTCCATTCTGCAAAATTCTGTATGCTGAAGGAGTCTGGAGTGTATACTACATAATAGGTGTGTACCTGAGTGTACACTTTGGGTATATTTTACTGTATGGTTTCTGTCTTCCAGATATATGAGGTCCTGAGTGTAATCCGGGATATTGGTGCGACAGCTCAAGTGCATGCTGAGAATGGTGACATCATTGCTGAGGTATGTTATGTTTATTCTGTGGATTATTAACTTCAAAATGCTGGGAGGGAATTAGATTCTAAGTCCTTCTTTGCAAACAGAAAATCACCAAGACTTTTAAAAGCATGGCATAGCTGTATCAAGGATGCAAGCAGAGCTGTGCATCAAATCTCATCCCCTTCATTGTCACTGATAAAGCAGTTTTTCATGGCAGCTTTCAGTTTGTGGTGGATATCGGCCATCCCTGCCTTTCTCCGCATAAGTGAAAGATTGCGTCTGGGTGTGACTGTCACGGCATACAATAAAATGTTCTGCGGTAAATAAGACCAGGGGGAGTGGGAAGGGAAATAGCTTCATACAGTACCTGCATGCTGACGTTTGGGATCTGTTCATCCTTTAAAAAGCAACAAAGAAGAAATGTTAATAATGTATTTGGATTTAATCTGATCTCCAGCTCATTTTATACATTATGTCTCAAGCATGCAAAACTTGGTGTTGCAGAGGATTTCTGCAGTGTCTGACTGGGGAAGTTGAGACTCAGACACCTGAGTCTTTGAGCCCAGTCACCTGCAGCTGCAGGATGATTTTTTCATGAGGTACTGTTTTGCCACATCTTAGAGATTACTTTATAGACGCAAATGAGTAGTGAAAGTTGAGGGGCTATGAACCCAGTGTTGAAGCAAATCAAAATAAAAGGTTTCCCTGACCTCCTATGAACAAATCAGCAAGGGTTTTGCGAGCTCTGGTTATTCTCAAAAAGGGAAGTTGGACAGGGCTCTGGTTGTAAGGCCCTTAGGTAAAGTCCCATGTGATTATTAGTTAGCACAGATGCCTAGGATCTCACTTGTACCTCTTTCAAACAGCTGTGTTTGCTGCAAGAGAAAATGCTTGTTGCTTTACATCTTTTTCCTGCTCTTTTTCCTCTCTGCCTTAGGAGCAGCAGAGGATCCTGGAACTGGGGATCACAGGCCCTGAAGGGCATGTGTTGAGCAGACCTGAAGAGGTGAGGACTGCCTTTGCATTTATTCCCCCAATTTATAACATTTCTGCATTGCCATCAAGTACTTCATATTGGGATGAATGTGGCTGGAAGCACGATTTCATCCTGGCTGTAAACTCTATTGCTGCATGGGGTAAGGGAAGAGGCTAAGACACTTCTAGGGACTAACTAGTAACTAGTCCCTTCTAGAGACTAACTGCTGTGGGTACTTATGAGGAATTGAGGAGCCCCCTCAGCATCTGTACTGGAGAAGGGGACATCTCCAGGGAGTAATTCATCCAGCCTAAGATTTGATTCACCCTCTGGAAAAACTCATCTCTTTCTGTTGATTATCGGAGCTAGTCTATAAAGGCTCTGCTCACACATCAGGGATCTAAAGTGAGGTGAGATGTGTTTGAACCACAGAGCCCATGATAAGCACTTAACACAGGGAGCTGTTGGTACTTAGCACATCTTCAGTTCAGCCCTTTGATAGCCCAAACTGGAATCCTACATAAGGAGGTATAGAAAATGTTGAACCTGAAGCACAGGTAGAGCACAGTCTACCTGAATCACCAATTCCTTGATTCAGCTGCTGCACAGGAACACTTTAAGATGGAGTCCCTGAAGAATTACATGTTCTGATGATGTTGGTCTTTACGAAGCTAGACCCTGAAGTTCTTGTAGTTTCCCATTGCTTTCAGTTGAGTTTTGCATGAGTAAAAAGCCTTCAGAATTTGGATTTATGTAGGCAGGATTCTGCCACTGACTTTTCTAGATCCCATTTCTTGGACTACTCTCTCAGTCTTTATTTTATCAAGACTTCCTCTGAATCAGCAGAAATTTTTACTATATGCCCAAATCCTGACGTTCTGTCTTAGGCAATTGCATAGCTTCCATTACCATAATATTTGATCATTTGATGAACATTTTACTGATGATGGGTTTTTTATACCAAGGGACTGAGTAGTTTGCTGAAGGCACAGAAAGTATGTACCAGAGAGGGGAGCTAATTCTCAGATCCTAGCCCAGCACTTTAATATAGTTCACCTTCATACTTCCCCATTGATTTCTCTAGGGTCAAGCACCCCAATCCCTCTCACTCCCTCTAAGTCTTTAAAATAAATCTCAAGGGTAAGAAAGAACCTTAAAACTTTGCTTTTCAGGTTGGTTCTCATTGCATTCTTCGTTTCCAGTCTTTCAGTATCTCTAAGCTAGACATGTCACCATGGCATTCTGGGTTTCTGAAGTCCATCCGTTATGTACAAGCAGTTCTTTTTGTTCGTCCAAGATACTGGGGCTTTGCTGACTGCCAGATGCGGCAGCTGGAAGCTGGATGTGTGAGATCATCCACACGTGCCCCTCATGATCCCTCTCTATTTCCTCCCCTTGGTTCAGACAAGCAGCATCCAGAGACATTTCAGTAGGAATATAAATCATTCAGTTGCTTCATGCAGAAGGGGGAAAAAAAATGCTTGACTTGGGCAGTATGTGAATCCTCACAGAATTTGAGTTTGGCTCCAGGAGCTGGGATTTTTTGCTTCCTGGAAGTTGTGAGCAAACACTTGCACTGAGCCTTCCACCCACCCACTCCTGCATTTTTTTTTTTTTAACATATTTTTTAGCTTGCATCAGGAGAGCAGGAACAGATGCCGACATGACGCTTGGGGCTCATCTGTGGAGCACCCCTAAACTTTTGTTGACTTCAAAGGAAGGCTGCTCCTTACCTTGAAGGATCTGGCTGTCAAACTAGCCAAGTTTTGTCTGGCTACTTCAAAGCTCATCCTTAGTAGAGCAGGAGCTTTAAAGTATGAACTGTGTGAACTGTGTGGCTCCCTGGCTTCGTTGGTCTGTTACATCTGTCTCCTGCACTCTGCAGAAATGTGTTCTTCCTCAGTGTAGCAAGGAAGGCTGCCTGAGGACACGTGGCTGCCTCAGATGAGGATCAGTAGAGCCTCCTCCCGCTGTCACTGGGCAGCCTCTGTGCAGCTGAACTCAGCTGTGCTGTCTTGCCCAGAGTGGAAGCACTTGGTCCAGAATTCTCCTCCTTTAACGTCATAGGAAACAGAGCAGGAAACGATGTCATCTGGTTCCTTCCCCTCCTTTTCTCCAACGTGGGAGTAACTTCGTGTTTTTAAAAACATACAACTCCCTTTAAGCTGGCTGATGACAAAGGCCAGATTCTGAGGGTGGCAGCAGATCCATAATTCCTGTTGACTTCAGTAGGAGCAGATGTTTCTTGGTGTCCCTCTGGGTTGCTGTTAACACTAGAACTGGCTTTTCACGCTGCCCTTTACGGAGTGTAAAGCCTGTCCTAAGGACTTCATGATGGTTGTCATCTTAAGAGCTGCTTAATTCAGACCTCCATCTACAGCAAACTAGCAGGAGTTGTTGAACAAGTCTAAAATACTTACTAAATCAAAACTCCCACTCAATTCAGTGAGACTTATGTCAGAGTGAAGCATTCAAGGTCTGGCCATGTGCATTTGTGTCTTACTTGGAGCGTACACATCTTCTGAATTCCCAGGTTGAGCAGAAGGCATAAATTAAGGCTTAGGTTTCACTGCTGACTCACGGGTTTAGCTTGCTCACCTCAGTAACCTGGGTTGAGCCATGGTGACAGTATTCAGCACGTTGTTCCAGCCAGCAAAGGGAACCTTAATTAAGACATCACCATCCCAAGTCAGCATCACCAACACTTTCTGGAAAACTCTTCCCCCTCATAGCTCAGATCATTCTGTGATGACTTTTCGGAGCGATCCATCATTTTTTGTTTTTATTTTAGCCACAAAAACGCTGAAAGCACAGGCAGTCCAAGTGCTCCAGGAAATGTCTGTCTTTTTTTCCAAGAGAACTGCTGTGCTAGGGCTTCTAATGCATGCTGGTAATTGCAAACATTCCCCTTTGGACTAGTCGTTGGGTTATTGTTATGTGCCTGTCACCATAGCATCTGGGCACAAGGCATGAATTCAGTGGCCTTGTTCTCTTCTGTGCAGAAAATATTCTCCTCCTGCTTAGCAGTTGCTCAAATGCCTTTTGGTCAAAAGCCTGGAGATGTGTGTTGTTTTATCCCTGCTTTGCAAGTGGGGAAACTAAGGCACAGCGTGGAAACGTGACTTCCAAGTGTTGCAGTGACAGAGCTGTGTGCAGGCCCACTTTAAATGCGCAGTTTGCAAACTGATGCCACTGCCTGGAAGCATTGGCCCGTCTGAGTTCTCCCCTTGTCTCTCAGGAGGGACAAGTATGCTTTTCTTGGCTCTTCCTTTCAGCCTCCGTCTTCCCTGCAAGTGCTGCTGGCTGTGGCATACTCGAGTCAAATGTCCTGGAATAAACACCCTTCCTTGCAGCCTTTTCCATTTGTGTGGGGCAGCTGGGCCAGAAAATGTCCCCTTCTGTACATCACCCTGCCTGGGGAGGGTTAGTCACAAGCCCTGGCATGGTGACAGGCCAGGGCTTTAACCCTTTTGGCACTAGGGACCAACCTGCTGGCTCTGGGGGGCTGGTTTTCTTTTAAAAACTTCCAGCTGTTGTCGTGTTGTTTTTCTTGAGCAGTCCAGCTGCAAACAGAGCAGTGTTACAGGTGGTGGCTTTGTCAGCGTGAGCAGAGCTGTTCAGGGCACTTGGATATCGGTGTGGCGAATACACCGTTTCCTAAGCTGGTGGGTCCTTAATTTCAGGTACTTCTTTCAGTGGATCAAGCACGGTGCTAGGAGCCAGCAGTCAATGCATTCCGATTCTGGGACTGATGATGGTTTACAGTGCTTGGCCTGCCATAAGTCATTGTAGAGCAGATTTTCAAAAGTGCTGAGCCTGTGCCAATCCCACTGGAGTCCATGGGAGGTGCTGGTAGCCTCTTGCATTAGGGAATCAGGTGGCTGATTGCTCTGGGTTTCCGTTTCCTCTGTTGTTCGCTTGGAAAAGTCTGTGGTGTTGCAGGCTCAGTTCTCCATGGTAGCAGGCACTATGAGCATTACCCTGTTGTTAAATCTGTCATCTGGACTGCTTTGATTAGGATGTGTGATCTGTAAAAGTCTGCAGAGTGATTATGTTCATTCTAAGACTGTAGTCATAAAGTGACCCTCAGTCTCGCTGAGGTTATCTCTCTACACATGCAAGAAAAAGTAGTTGATTTATGGGGTGGTTCACACTCTGCCAGATCCCAAGCCAGATACTGTAGTGGAGGGTACAATTTAGGAGGCTCGTTTGCAAACGTGGCTTACCAGAGTATGTGGCTACAGCATCTCTCTTCCGCGTGGGCTGGAACATGAATAGTTCTGTTGAGTCAACATGTAGTTGCTTTTTTTTTGTCTAGGTTAAAGAAGGGCCATAATCATTCTGACCTTGAGCACCTGGAGTGTTATTTTAGGACTTAGTCTGCTTGCAGAGAAACTTTGAAGCAGCCTGGGAGAAAAGGTAGTAAAGAGAGGGGACTACAGCTTGATGTCGTTTTAATTGTTGTGATGACATTGCGCATTTTTCTGGCTCAGAATCGGAGAGGTGGAAAGTCTCTCATCTCGGCCCTGCACACCCTGTTTTCCCGTGAAAGCAGAGGGCGGTGACCCTCTGAAGGTGAACGGGATATGCTAACGTGGGGATGCTACTAACTTGCTGCTGACTTTGTTTCTCAGGTGGAGGCAGAGGCTGTGAACCGGGCAATAACCATCGCCAACCAAACCAACTGCCCCCTTTATATCACCAAGGTGATGAGCAAAAGTGCCGCTGATGTCATTGCTCAAGCCAGGAAAAAGGGTGAGTTATTTCCCTTGGATGGAAGCACCCTATTAGCTCATGCAGTTCAACTCCTTGCCAGCATAAGCTTCATCCCTACAGGAGAGGTTTCTTTTTCCAGTGTTATTGTCCAGGCTCTTTTTTAAAAGGTCCCAAGCAACTGCTTCTGTCTCATCTCCCACAGACAAGTATTCAGTGGTCGTATCAGTGCCAGGAGCTGGTTCTTCTGTCCAGCCTAGAGCGCCTCTCTTCACACTCATCCTCCCACATTGAGCCATACGCCTTCATGTTACTGCAGAGTAATTCCATGCTGCCTCCATTTAATGAATCCCTCTGGAGATTGCAAGCTGTGTCCTCCTTCCAGCTGCTGTGGTCTTTCCTTGGTGCTTTCTGCTGAGCTGCTTCCTGGGGTCAGAAGTGATTCCAAGAGTCCTGACGGAGGTCTCTGACTCACGAGACCTGTTGGATTTAGTTGGAGTAGCCAAAGAGGTTACTGATTCCAGCTATGCTCTGTGCTCCTTGCTTGTGAAATAGATACTCCTCGTGTGCTGTAACTCACAGCCTGGCATCCGAACAGGGATTGGGATCAGTAGTCTGGGTTAGGCTGGGAATTGCAATCACCTCTGATAACTCTGCTTGAGGATGCTGCAAGAAGCAAGACTCAGACCTGGGGTGGATGCTGCTGCCTTGTGTCTCCTCTTTCTAACCGAGGTCTGAGGGAGCTGAGCTGGTCTGAGTGATGCAGTAGCTTCTCCCGAGTCCTGACCCTGCTGTCTTGCCCCCAAGGAGCAAGGGTTACAAAGCACAGTGAGTGCCTGTCTCCCTGCTTTATTCTGTGTCTAAACCCTTCATTTCTATTTAAAGCAGCTCTGAGTGGGTGAGTAAGCAGGAGGGATGATTTTCCCCCTTCTTTCCTCAGAAGGGTTGGATTTAATTTTATGCAGTCTAAATAAGCCTGAATGGATATACAAATGACATCACTTTCCATCTGGGTGTTTGGGGTGAGAAGAGCTAATTTCCTACCGCAGCAAACAGATTTGTGTTTGTGTATTGGCTCAGAAGTATTTTGGTCCCATGACTCCTGTTAAATGAGTTCAGAGTTGATGAGGAGGACTGATTTCCAAGGCATCTCTTTCTGTTCATGGCGTGGAAGCGGCTCAAGCTGTTTGGGATAAACCTTCCTCTCCTAGCTCCATTAGTGGAGATCATGCTGAAATGAGAAGATGTGTTGACATGCAAAAGTGGCTGCATGTTGCATTACCCCAGAAAACAACTTGATGTGGCTGTGCAACTCAATCCTATAAGCCAGGGAAGCACCCCTTCCTTTTTGTAGGTAAAGTATTGGAGACATATGCACCACAGAGATGCAGGATCAACAAAAACACCCTCTTCCATGCTTGCTGTCCTCTGCGACCACTAGGTGGCAAGTAGATATAGGAGCATTGGGATGAGGGACCGTACACTTACATCGCAGAAGCCATAAAACACAACCTGACTTGGGTGGGAGTTACCCTGCCTGTGAAAGGTGCTGGGATTGTCCCAGATGAATGATCCACAGAACTCATTACTTAGCCTCCTGAGTGAACTGGCATATGTGGTTTTCATTCAGATTGCATTTTCTCCTTATAAGGAGAGTTTGGGGTATAAATGGCATGCCATTCTTTGTTCCTTTATTTAAATAATTCAATTTAAATGCTGTGCAGTTACCCAACTGGTTAACCCAGGAGGGCCACACACACTGGCCTTGCCCTCCCAAGCAACAGAGGAGACATAACTGAAGACTATCCAAGGCAAAAACAAAACAGAATTGATTTGCTAAATGGAAAAGAACGAATGTTATTTAAAGCCAGATGTTCCCAGTGGCATTTGTATGGAGGAGATTCCCTGCAGACTCTGTCATTGGCAGATCTGGGAGCTTAAAACATCGCTCCCTGCAGAACAATCCTCCCTATGTATTGGCCCACAACAGGCCTCCCGTTAATAGCCAGCGTGTGTTTTGCCTTGTTCTGATTTCATAACCCTATTTGTGGCAAGTGATGTCAGACGGCCTCTTCCTCTGCTGGTGGATCCCCTCTGACAAAGGCTGTTCCTACACTTTCTGTTCCAGTGTGGTCCTGGAAGCAGAATGAAGCCAGTTAATGCATCTTTCTGCCTCAGCTAATGCACTCTTTCCCAGCTAGCTTGAGAGCCTACAGACATAACAGTAGCTCAGACAATGTGGCGAAAGAAAGATCAAATTTTTTTTACTCTGCATGATGAGGTGTGTAAGACCCTGCTGACCAGTTCTGGGGTTGCCTTTGCCAGTCTTTTCTGACTGAAGTATTTAGGGTTAGTATTTTAACTACCCACGTCTTTTGCAGGCAGATACAAATACATGAAGTGTCTGGGCTCAGAAGCCAGATGGATAGGCACTTTACAGAGATTTCAGGAAGGTTGCATTTGGTGAGCAGATCTGTGGGGCTACCAGCCTGCACTGCTTTTGAAGTTGCAGCATCTTGCATCTGCTTGGTGTGCAGATGTTGCTGGTGCATTCCAGCTTGCAAAGTATCATGGCCTTAAGGATCCGCTGTTCCTTCATGTGGTTCCAAAAATGTTAATGAAGAGGAAGGATGCACTGGTAGTTAGTGCACTGGACGGAGAGTCAGAAGATCCAATTTAATTTCCTAGTTCTGCTACAGATTTACTGTGCACCCTCGGGGAAATCACTCGGTTTCCCTGAGCTGCATTTGTGAACCAGAAACACTGATACTTCCTCTGTGATAGGCTTTCTCTGTAGGCAGGAAACTTTTCTGATAGGAGTTTTCTCTTGTCTGATCTATGCACAGAGCCTGCTCCAATAAAACCAGCCTTGTTAGATCTTTAATACATACACATTTATAAAAATATCGCAGGCGCTATTTTTTTCTTTTTCTTCCACCATCCCTTTTGTATCACACTGGATCTCCTCATGCTCTTACAGTTCCCCTCAGCCTCTTTCATAAGGTTCTTGGCCCAGGATATAATACAATGAATCTTTACAGTAACCCTTTCAAGCACAATTAATCAGCACTGACCTCAGCAATTGTGTAAGGGCATTGTGCACATTTTGCTGCTCCATGCTCTTATCAGTAACGGTATCTTTATTATTAACTCAGATATTTAGATGTTTGGATACTTATTTCGAGGGACTGATTTTTGGAGAATGCTCAGTGTTTCTTTAGAGATCTTAAGACAGGCATATAAAATTAAAGGCTTGCTTGTGAAAACATGTCCTTAGTAACATAATATAGTTCGAGGAGCATTGAACAGGCCAGGGATTTAATGATGTCTGATCATCTGGTTATGCAGGCCAGTGAATTCAATCCAATGTTCCGTCTCTGTGATCACATACTTAAGAGGAAGTACCAAGAAACCCTGCAGCGTGCAATGCTGGCATTACTTACCCAACTTGTCCTGATTCAGAAGGATGCTTTATGCCTGGAAGCCAGGCTGGAGATGCATGTTGCTTGGTGCTCACAGTAGATTTGTCTGTATTCCTGTCCTGTAGGCACTGTGGTGTATGGAGAGCCCATCACAGCCAGCTTGGGTACCGATGGATCTCATTACTGGAGCAAGAATTGGGCTAAGGCGGCAGCTTTTGTTACTTCCCCACCACTGAGTCCTGACCCAACCACTCCTGATTTTCTCAACTCGCTACTGTCCTGGTGAGTAGAGTTCTTTGTGTTGAAGAAGCACATGCTGTGCTTCATCATGAGACAAGTGGGTGATAAAAATAATAGCTGTTGTTGCCAGCAAGCAAAAGGCTGTTTCACCTTTAGGAGTAAACCTGTGACAATAAAGTATCTTAAATACCTGTCATTGTCTTTTCCAGTGGAGACCTCCAAGTTACTGGCAGTGCCCACTGCACCTTCAACACTGCTCAGAAAGCTGTTGGGAAGGACAACTTTACCCTGATCCCTGAAGGAACCAATGGGACTGAAGAGAGGATGTCCATCATCTGGGATAAGGCTGTGGTATGTCACACGTTTCATAAGCTTAGGCTGCAACTAGGCATTCAGAGCTGAAAGAGCTGCGGCAGTGTGTTGTTATCTCCCCCTGGATGCTTGTTATGGTCCTTCCGCTTGAGGTTTTTGCCCCTCTAGAGATCATTGGGAATCTGCTGTGCTGTCAGCTATTTGCTTTTCGGAGTGGTCCCCACCTGGCTAATGCAGTGACTCCTTTTGTCTTTCCCCAGGTGACTGGCAAGATGGATGAGAACCAGTTTGTCGCTGTGACCAGCACAAATGCAGCTAAAATCTTTAACCTGTACCCACGGAAGGGCCGTATTGCAGTGGGCTCGGATGCTGATCTGGTTATCTGGGATCCTGACAGTGTCAAGACAATCTCTGCCAAGACTCATAACATAGTAAGGATATTTTCTACGATGTGAGCTCTGCTGCTCATTTCCTCTTCTCTTCCTTCAATGCCAGACTGTGCTGCCAAGAACTAGAGCTCATGACAACTCAGGGCTTTGTTTTCTCAATGCCCCAAGCCTTCTCTGGTCTTACATCCAGTACAGCTCAGTTGTGTGAGCAGAAGGGAAGACGACTGAGTCCAAATCTTAAATCACATGAATACCCAGAGATTCCCCTTGGAGCAAAGAGCTTGTCTACTCTTTCTGAGTGTTGGATGCTTGGATCTGAGCACACAGAAAGCTCTTTAAATCTTCTAAAATATCAAAAGGCCTCTTATCACAATGTATCATTTATGATCCCTGGCTCGCTAGCAGTGGGAATGTCAATGCCCCTTTTCTGTTTTGGGGTCAGTGAAGCTTGTCAGCTCGTGGACACCTTTGCTGGAGATCTGATCCAGATCAATGAGTCTGAGTGGATTTACACCACGTACTGATCTGGCACGCGTGCCTGGAGTCATGCTTAGACATGATTTTACTGGTGATCATCCCAATGTTAGTTGGCACAGGGAGGCAGAAGGCAGCACCCAGACTAACCAGACCTTCCCCTTGTTTCTTCTGCGGCTTTGTGGTGGCACTGTTAGAGGCACTGTTTGCTTGTGGCCCACAGCTGTTTCCCATATCTTATACCTGGCTCCTACAGTGGAAAAGCTGTCCCACCCTGTGGGAAACTGCAGAATGGTCCTAGTGCAAAGGGCTGGTTGGAGTCTCCCTGTGACATTCGAGCACTGTCTCCAGAGAAAGCAACCACTGTTTGCATTTGTTGACGACTTGTTTCATTGCTGGCGATGAACCTATGGAATGTTTCCCTGGAAAAAAACCTCCTTGTTCTTTTTTCCGTGAATGCTTTCATTCACTCTGGAGCTGAAGGAGCAAAATTTTCTTCCACGCTTGGATCCCTGGGCACATTCACAAAGAAACTTTTTTTAAAGGTTTGGTTCACTTCCCTGTGACTTAACTCTGTGTCAGAATTGGTCACAGATGGCCTGGATTCATCCTGCCTGTGCTTAGACTTCTAACAGAGACAACCAGACTCAGAAGTCTGGTCACTTCAGTCACCTTAGAGGTGCTTCCAGACTGATCACACCTCCAGTCTGGAGAGGAATGACTTAGAGGAGGGAGCCCAGGGACATATCGCTATTAGGTGCCAAATTTAGTGGTCTGAACCTGGATTTGTTCTTAGGAATGGCTCAGAGAGCTTGGAAGTAGCTTGCTGGATGGAGTATTTGAAAGTCATTGCCATTTAATGGCTCTTGTCTTTAGGAAATGAATTGGACTCTTTAAATTTCCTAACACAAAACTCAGAGACTTTATCTTTTGTGGATATGCTGCAGTACAATCAGGATTGACTCCATGATTTTGCCATAGATCTGGGCTAGGCTGAAAGAGAACCAGGTCCACTGTGGAACGACAATTCAGAAATACTTTATATGCTAAGGACTGCAGATCCCCCTGAAACTCTTGCACTGTTTAAGAGGCCTCAGCACTCAATGATCAGCTGTTGCCCAAGGCTGCATCTTGAAGTTGTGCCAAGACTATGGAGGATGAAGGGCTCTCGTTTTCAAGTGGTTTGTTTAGAGTTTGAAGGGCTGTCTAAGAAATTGCAGCTTTTTTTCTTACATGTCCAGCTCTAACCTCTTCCCCTGTCATTGCATCGCCTGTTATACCTGGCATTACACCTGTTGGGGTATTTTTTTGTGTCTCATGCTGCACGTGTGCCTTGTGTTAGAGAAAAAATTGATAGGAGTGATGCCTTTACAGTGAAGGCATCCTAGTTTGGTCAAGTATAAAACAAAAGCCCCTTTCAAAGTCAGGCAGAGCAGTTGCTGTGACACAGGGAGAGGTAGTGATTATGTGGCATCAGATGATTGTTACTTTTTTTAATGCTAGAGCAACATACGGATATTGTCCAAGAATTCACACTGCTCTTGCCACTGTCTGGCAAGGAAACATTAGGAGCTAGAGAGGGAGATAGTGTTGTTCTTGGAACCAGCCTAATTCATAAGCTTCTAACCAAGCCGCCTCCTTTGCCACCACAACTTTTTTTTCAGACTGGACCTGGTTCAGTGTTGGTTTAACCGCCATTCTAGCTAATTGTAAATCTGCAGTCAAGCCTACCCATACTTATAACACACTTCAAGAGCAAACTCCATTATTAACTCAGTAAAAAAGACCTGGATTTGTCTCAGAGATGGTCACTAGAGTAACAGTCCCCAAATAACATGGTTGTAGTGCATCTCATTCCGGGATGCTTCATGGGTGGGACATTTACCAGTGATTCCTTTAAAACTTGTCTTTTTTCCGTGGTGTAATGTTTCCAATCCTGTTAATTGAGGATGAGCAATCCCATTAGAGTAAAACAAGATTGTCCTGGTCCCTGACCCATCAACCAAAACACTGGTTTGAAATACAGCTTTTCAAAATTATCATTATTTTTAGTATGAAACTCAGAGAAAACTTTATTTGGCTCCTAAATCCCCTGCAATTCAGAAGAGATAGGTGCCTAAATGCATTTAAACAGGTAGGCTTTGAGATATTCTCATTTGAAACTGTATTTCCTCTTTAAGAATCTCGTTGCAATGGAAATTTTGCATGAGTAAATCCTTAATTAAGTTAGACTGATAATAAAGACCAGCCTTTCTATTAAACCACAGCATATACAACTCAGGTAAATGCTGTTGAGTTTGCTTCCTTAAAATTTTGGCAATTAGCATGACTGGTGATTGCTAATTAAAGCACAGCAGGCTTTGCTGGGATGAGTACGTTTGCCTCATGTTGTGTTTTTGTTTGTTCTAGTCTCTGGAGTACAATATCTTTGAAGGCATGGAGTGCCGTGGGTCTCCCCTGGTGGTTATCAGCCAGGGGAAGATCGTGCTGGAGGATGGGAATCTCCATGTCACCGAGGGATCTGGACGGTATATCCCCAGGAAACCATTCCCTGACTTCGTTTACAAGCGCATCAAAGCAAGGAGCAGGGTGAGTATAAATGGTTGGATGCACATTTGTTCTCTCACTGAAAATCCTGAGTTAAAGCGGGTGGAAAACAGATGCTATCCCCTGGCTCGCAGACACACACTTCTGCAACAGAAAATGTTCCCTGGATAGGAGCCATATTTATCTCATTCCTCTTTCATTTTTGCTATTCACTTGAGTCATTACAGGAATATTCTTTGGCTTGAGCTTGGATTTTCTGCAAATTTTATTTTTCTGCTCTTTAATTCTTCTGTGTTTTGGGACACCTAGACAGAGCGTGTGTCCAGGAACTGTCCAGTTTGGACATGGGTCAATCTGCAAATAACCCGGCAGGCTTCTCCTGTCAAAGAAGTACCAGGAGAAGTTATTGATAGCATTTATATATCAAACCTTTCAGCAACAATTCAGAATTCTCATTTATTGTTACAGATACATTATGCTGCTTTCCCTTCTGTCAGATACGATCAGATGCTCTTGTCTGATGACTGGTGAGTCACAGGCACAGCCTACTGACTGTTTAAAAGTGAGAATTTTCTATTTTTAAGAGGCTAAAATTGTTGGAAAAGTGTTTTTGTAAAATACACCCATTCAAAACAGAAACTGCCTTTTGATATGCCTTTAGTTGGTAAAAACTGCCAGAGAAGATGACACTGAACTCAGCTGCAACTTAGTTGCTGAGAGTTTAAGAAGTTTATTTCTAGATGAAGGCAGATTTCTGAGGAGAAAAGTATTTTGATGTTTGAAGTGTTGCCCTCTCCTGGACAAAACCAGAGCTGTGTTAGTTCTGCTGACCATAGGTAATCTTCACATTCCTTGCAAATGATCTTTCCTTAATTGTTCTTTTGAAGAAATTGCAAGTTACCAAAATTACAACCTCAAATAATTTAGCACCGCAGAGAACAGATTCGTGGTTTCTTTTGTGTTTTGGTCTCCCACAGAAATACGTGTCTGACCTATAAATCCAATTGGGCAGCATCTCAGCTGGAATAATTGCATTTAACCCAATCTAGAGCTCCCAAGCTGGTGATGTGAATCTAGCCTGGCTCCTCTTTATGCAGTCCTGCCTCTGCCTCAGCATTGTTTTGCTTTTTGGGGATGAGTAATAAGTTTCATTTGAGAGTTGTCAGGAGCCTTTAATACAACAGCAGGGAGGTTGAGATCATTAAAGGGCAGAACTTGCGGTGCAGGGGACAGACTGGCTGTCTTCTGTAGGCTGCTCACACCAGCTAGCAACTACCTGGAGCCACAGCAGTCCAGAGCGCATTTCATTTTATCCATGCTGCTTCAGAGACCAGCTACCACCCAGGGATCGGCACGGAGGAGATGATGTACACTTTCAAATCCTCTTACCAAAGACGAATCTTGAAATGTGTGTCTTTGGCTTAGCAACATCTGGCCAGCTGTTTAGTTCTGTTTTGAAGGCTGTTTTGACCCTGAAGGCTGCTTGCTTCTGTGTTTTGCAGCTGGCTGAGCTGCGGGGTGTGCCTCGAGGCCTCTACGACGGACCTGTCTGTGAAGTGTCAGTGACACCGAAGACGGTCACACCAGCGTCTTCAGCTAAGACGTCTCCTGCCAAACAGCAGGCCCCACCCGTGAGGAACCTGCACCAGTCTGGATTCAGCTTGTCTGGTACATACTTCTATGGGGCTAAATTGCTTTGAAATCATGGCTTGTTTATACTCCCATACTCTGAATTAATTCTGCTGAAATTGGAAGGCAATGAGAGAGACTGTGATGTGTTTTTAGCTTGGAGGTTATCCCTTTAGAAAGGAAGAAGAGCAGTATAGGAGCTATTGTAAAGTCCTGCTTATTTTCATGCCGTGGCATGAATGCTGAGTACCCCATTGCGTTCTGGGCTCGGTCCTCAGCCGGGTGTCTGAAGAGGGCAGATGGCACCAGCTTCAGCGGAGCTTTGCCAGCTGAGACCAGCTGTGGATCTGGTATGTGGCAGATTTGGTTTCTCAGTGTGCTGTTTCAGTGCAATAAGGGAAGACTATGAAAAGGAATAAAAAGGCTCACTAGTGCAGAGTTATTAATGCAGAACAGGTTTCAGCAGAATTAAGGCACTGGAGGCCAGTAAGGGCTTTTCCTCCAAAGATGACGCATTTTGGTGCACACGGTTGGAGCCTGGCCTAAGAGGACTTGATGGGTTTCAGTGCAGCTGTGCTCTCCTGAATCCCTTGTCCTGCAGCTTGCTCATCTCAAACTCTCGCTGGCCTGGGGGATCTGACGTTGCTTCTCTCTCCCGCAGGGGCACAGATTGATGACAACATCCCACGCCGCACCACTCAGCGCATCGTGGCACCGCCCGGCGGACGTGCCAACATCACCAGCTTGGGCTAAGGACCGACCCCTTCTGTGCCCGCCTAGCGGACCAGGGGACGGGGGCACCTGGAGACCCTTTTTGATTCTTTTAGAGCCTGTGACAGTTACTGCGGGCAACCAGTGAGGGGGGGCTGAAGTAAGGCGCCTCTTTCAGTCCCCTCAGATTCCCTCCTCATCTTCACCAACCCCTCTCACTTCCCCCCTCAGCCCCTACACATTTAAAGAAATAAACCCTGTTTTGACACCTCTGACATGCAAAAGTAAATGTAAAGAGGATGTTTGAGATATGTGGCCTCTGTCCCATTCAGCATCTTTCTTTTAATAAAGGAAGGATAAAGTGAATTTCCCGGGAGCTGCCTTTAAGACACACACAAAAAAGGAATCAATAAATAATAAATGTAAAAAATAGCTTTTTTTTTTTTTAATGTCAAGCAGAAGAGTAGTTCAAGGGTTTTAAACTGGATATTCTATAGGGTTCTGTGTTCCAGCAGAATAGCTAGGCAAGCACGGAGGGACACGAATCCCAGCCTGTCTGTAACCATTCCCCACCACCGCCTTTGAGGTCACTGTATAGCTATCTGCTGCCAAGAGAGAGAAACAGGATCCAGCACTAGGAATTGACAAAGCGCATCGCACCCAGCCATCGGGTGAGCTAGAATCGTTGGGGACTTTGGTTCTGTTGGGTTTTTTCATTTTTTTTTTTTCCTTCTGGATTTTGCTGCAAATTAGGTCCTTGAGGAAACTTTTTTTTTTAATTTTGTGTGTGTGTTTTTAATATGTTTGTATCATTGTGTTTACGAAGCCTTACCTGAGAACTGGGGATCTCCCTGTTCTTCCCAGTCCTTCCCGAACCTCATTCAAGTTACAGACTCCCGCCAGTGTCACTGCCACCCTGGTACTTCAGGTATTCCTAGGTTGCATCATTCCAGCCAACGCTTGCCACTTAGCTGCAATAGGAGGTTGCGGAGCAGGTTCATAAGCTATGATCTTCACTTCAGTATACTAGGTCTTGAGCTGGTGCAAACAAAGGGGCTGGATTACCAGCTGAGGAGCTGGGACAGAGTTTCTTGACAAGTTTTTAGCAGTTAGTTTGTCTTCTGTTCCTGGAGGTGGAACTCAATAAGCAGGGGGCTGTGGGCAAAGAGCAACATGTTGCTTGAATGATTTCTGTAGCAGCCACGTTCCCCCTTCCTGGCCATCAATGAGTGGTTATTTAAAACTTTATGAGAGCTTATCTTTAGCTCTCATCGAAAGGCCGGTCAGTTGAGCGTGTGCCTGAGCATCTGTGGCAATTCCAATTCGAGTCCAGAGGCCCAGCTGTTGTAACTGGGAGCCTCAGAGCAGCTCGATGGGTCAACAGCAGCTGAGAATCTCTCATACACGGGGCGAATTTCACAGTCACTCATTCCTTCAGGAATCTGCCTTTGTGCAAATACTCATGAGAAAGCCTGGTGGTTCCCCACCCTTCCTCAGATGCCTGCCGCCTCAGATTTGAGAAACCAGAGGCCGTGAGTGGTCCTTGAATGAATTTAGGAGCCCCAGCTTCTGTGGCAGTCAGTGGGATCTGGGCATTTAAGTATCTTCTGGGATTGAAGGTCTTCTAGCCCTAGTATTGGAGGCTCGTTATTTTCAGGACATGGAGAATAAATCTGCACCGTTAGATTCCCACTTAAACTTAGCTGGAGGGCTCGGCGGTCCCAAGGACTTGGCCTGTCTCTTAGCACAGAGAGCTTTTCTACCCGCAGTTAACACAGCATTACCTCCACTGTCTGTACGCCCTGGCACTTGGCTGCATCTTCTGCTTTCTCTTCTATTTGTACTTTGCCACGTACATTGACCTTGTTTTTCCGTATTTGTGAGTATTTTCTTAAATGCTGTTTACAGGTTCTTTTAGGGAAAAAAACTATATATATGAAGGCTTTTAAGAAACAAGTACCAAATTTGTTGTTATGAAGTATCAATGCTGGGATTTGCAAAGGATCTGGAAGCTATGTAGGTACCCAAACCCTCCCAGCTTCAGCACCTAATTCCTTTAGGCCCCTTTGAACACAGAAGTTAAGAAAAACATTGCCATACTCATCCCTGCGTTTTGCATTTAGGTTTAACTCTTGGGTCTTTTAGTTTTGCATAAAAGAGTTTGCACTTTGTTTGTTAAGTAATCCGTGAACTTAATATATATTGCAGCTATTTTCATTTTTTTCACCTATATGTTAAAATCAATTTGAACGAGTTGGGGAGAAAAAAAAAAAGAATTGCAGATCCGTTTCAATTCTACGAAACACTTGCGGCTCTTCAGTATTCACTTAAGTCTTCCTTTTTTTTTTCCTTCACTGACTCATGATGACTTTTTAGTTTTAATTTGTTCTTCAAAAGGAAAAAAAAAATCACAAAAAAAGATTTTTGCAGGCTATGTAAGCATGTTTTTTCCTGTGAGAGCTCGTCTGCTTTGTGTCTGTTTAATGAATGTCATATGTAAATGCTTAAAGAAAAAAAAAAAAGAC